ATATTCAACGTCAAGAAAGCAGTGGGCTTCTTGGTGGAGGCATGGGATCAGCTGTCTGTAGCAACTGTTCGTCACGCATGGAGACGTGTTGCAAGGCATTCTGGGCGTTAGGCAGAGTCAATCTGTGACTGGTGAGGTTCAGACTGTTGCAGTAGCAGTGGACCTTACCAGAGAAGCTGCGCAGAGTGTTACAGCTGCAGGGTTCTCCGAGACCACCAACGACGACATCCTGGAGGTGATAAGGGATCCTGATGTGACTACCGACGACATGGTAGATGATGATGACGTCAGTGAAGAGGCAGGTGGTGCGTCATCCCAAGAAGAACGCCGCTTATCCCATAGTAATGTTAGGGGTGCCATCGAGTGTGTCGAGAAAGCCAAGCTCCTCCTTTCCGATGACCCTGACGCAAACAGGTATGAAATCTTCACTACCCAGCTGTTGCAGACTATGGAGCCGTACATCAAGGTTTATCACGACAACATAAAAACCAGCCGTCAGCAAAGCATAACAGAGTTCTTCGCCTGCAACCCACCACAGCCAGCCCAAGCCAGTGATATTGACAGAGGTAGAGACAGTGATGATGACTTTGAGGGATTTGTCAGGGAGGCCCTGACAAGTGTGGATGACAGTGATGGTGACTCACCTGAGGGCCAGTAGCCTGCCCTCTCCCTCGGAACCAGCCTCCATTCCCATACGCCGACCCATCTCTTCTACTAACGTAAGTGTTAACCCCAACCTTTATTTTTCCTAACTTAACCTTTATTTTTCCTAACCTAACCTTTATTTTTCCTAACCTAACCTCTTCTATATTAATTGTGTGTGCATACCATCATAAATTTAAGATAATATTTTTACTACAACATAGCAACATAGTTGTGTGTCGTCAAAAAGTGGAGTTTGGGGGTCGGCCCGGTCTCTATTTCAATTAATCCCATATGTTATGTTGTTCACTTTACAGGTTTCTCACTTTCCGCGGTACCCTGTGGGTTGAATTAACCGCGTAAAGTGAGGGTTCACTGTATGTGTGTATATATATATATCTTGATAAAATCACACGGGAAAATGGAAACAACGGAGTACCTTAGCTTTCGTCTTTATTCAAGACATCTTCAGAGGCAACTGGATTACATGGACAGAGAGAGGCTTAAATATACAGGGTGACCTAAAAACATGAGGTCAGGTCAAAATGATGACATCCACTAATCCCCACACCAACACACACGTAGAGGAGCTTAAGAGAAGGGTGGTGACGTGACTAGCCAAGTCAGGTCAGAAAAAAGGGACCCACAAAATAACTATCATACATCTAGATCAAAGGTTTTCAAAGCATTTTTAACCTTGGGCCACTGACAAATAAATTTATGTAACATATTATCAGTTTTGAACTGTTGGTGTGGGGATTAGTGGATGTCATCATTTTGACCTGACCTCATGTTTTTAGGTCACCCTGTATATTTAAGCCTCTCTCTGTCCATGTAATCCAGTTGCCTCTGAAGATGTCTTGAATAAAGACGAAAGCTAAGGTACTCCGTTGTTTCCATTTTCCCGTGTGATTTTATCAAGATTTATCTTATCCACGTTTTCATTGTGGAAAAAATATATATATATATATATATATATATATATATATATATATATATATATATATATATATATATATATATATATATATATATATATATATATATATATATATATATATATATATATATATATATATATATATATATATATATATATATATATATATATATATATATATATATATATATATATATATATATATATATATATATATATATATATATATATATATATATATATATATATATATATATATATATATATATATATATATATATGTTGGTGGTAATGGCATTATTATTTTTTATTGCTGTTGGTGGTACAGTTTTGTAAGTGTTTGTGGTAGTACAATATTGTTGGTTTTTGTTAGCGATGTTGTGCTCTCAGGGCATTTGAAGACAGTGCACTAGTCCCAGCCATTCAGCTGTGACTTGGGCATGCATCCTTCCCATGCAGCTATTGCCTAAAGATCTGTGATTCAGTTCATTTTAGTTGCTGGTTGGGATTTGGGAGGCATAACCTTTCCAATGCCATCTCTCTCTCTTAAATGGCATGGTCTGTTCTGTTCTGTTCTGATAATTACTCTTAGTATCGTATCATTCTCTTTATCTGTGAATTATTTCAATGTTTTCAGAAAAACTGACAAGGCACAAGATAAAAAACATTTTTCTTTGTCCGCTGCACAAGAACACACACCACACCTTGGCAGGTCAGGCAATAGTAGTGAAAAGTTTTGGCAGAAAATTACCATGTGGATCCATTACATTATGTATACAGCATTACATTAGTTCTTTATGCATGTACAATGCATATGTTTTAGGTAATATAGTGTTAAGTAGTTTGATCACACCAACAAGCTTCATGGCAAAGTCTGATTCTAGTGCCAAGGAAAATTGCCAATATTCTGTCTCTGATACAAAATATGCCTTAAAATGTTCATGACACCTTGTTTAGGAATATATAGAAAGTTAGATTTAGTTGGAGAAGATATGGTTTACTTTAGGTTAGCCAGTCTGTTGTCATATGGTGTGGATGTTGGTTTGGCTTCCAACTGGATGGTAGTAATGTGTTACGAAGTTCTCATCCTTCTGAGTGATTACAAATTAAGATGATGTTCACTTATCCAACTGAGAAATGGTGGCATGTAGATGGAGTTCAGTCATCCAGCTCATTCATAGTAGAGTATAGACCATTCAGTTGGGTGACGTATGCAAATGATCTTCAGTCATTCAGTTAGTTGAAGATGACTTGCTGATAAATACATGGGGTTCAGTCATCTAATTGGGTAAGGGCTGCTGCTGCACGACTGACCCAGTGGTGGCATGGGAGGGAGGAAGGCAGGATCAAATCAAGGATATAATTGGAGGAATGTCCTGTGGTGGAGAGTGTGCCACTCCGCTCGCTGGTGCGGTACACAGGGCAGTGGTACATGCCTTTCTCTTCTGCCTGGTCTTCATATTTACAGCTCACACCTGCAGACAACGCTATGAAAATCTTCAGGCAATTTGATGATGTATAAAAATAAGTAGTTTATGAATCAACTTTCTTCCAATTAGTCCAGATTATCGAGAGTTTGTTGGTATTCACTAAGCTGAATCATTCTACTTCAGTATCTGAGTGATGTATTTTTGTGCAAATAAGTTCAGGACAATATACGAGTGTGGCTAATCTAAATAAAACATCAGTTAGCAGAAATGTCATTAACATCTCAGACTCATCAAAATTTGTGAATCATAAGTTATAAGTTCTTGGTTACATATTCCTTCAAAAGATTTTGGTTATGTAACTAATGACAGTATCTTAACAAACTGCTCAAAAATTATTTTAATTTTATGTTCACTTGTAATGAACATTCCCTTCGTGTTTCATGCAAAGAAGTCACGAGTGTTTATTTTTGGTAAGCTCCACTAAGTGTATTAAATATCAATAATATGATTTATTTAAAATTTGACATACCATACCAGTAGTCTTATCTCAAAATCTAAAGGAGTAAAGATTTTCTTTTTGCTGTGAATAAAGTTGTCACCAAGATATATTTGCCGATATAAACTAAAACATATACGTATACCACTTAATTTACATTTAAATCCACTGAGAACAGGAATAACTGGTGTATAAAAATAATCCAGTCATTTAACAATTTGCAGAAAAAAATTGTCTACTGTATTCTAGGTTATATCCATTCAATAGTTTCAAATAGTTTGAAATCTAGGTTTTATTATAAAGTACATAAACCAAATTTCATTTTGTAAATAGTATACTGACATATCATTACTTTTGACATGGAGCAATTTTCAGGTACCCATAAAATCTTAACCAATGATATGGTTAAATCACCTTGATGAGAATACCTGACTCAATGACTCAAATACCTTGATGAGAATACCTGATCTGACTCAGTGATAAAGAAAATTTAATTGAACATGTAGGGCAAGGTAAAGGAATGAGTAAAGAGAAGGTGTGTTGGGGGCACATACCCTCATGGTGTGACATGTCTGGGAGGGCAGCAGGTTGGAAAAGGATGATAGGTAACTGGTCATGTAGCTGCTTGGCTGACATCTCCGCCAAGCAATGTTGTTCACGATCCCAGCGTGCACCTTCCAGGAAGAAGCCCTGCACAAGAGCACATTGGTATTAAGGGGCTGCATGTTGGGTGTAGAAAACTCTTCTGCCATACTGCTTTGTCTGTCATACTGGAATGACATGGGTATAACCCAATTGACTGTTTGACATATCATGCATACTGATCTTGGTTATTTTACCTGACCTATAATATACCTGCCCAGGCAACCTCACTTGCCTGGTATTCTAACAAAGATGCCCTCACTTGTCTTTGTCCTGCTTATTAGGTGTATAGCTTAAATATCTAAATCCTCTCCCAGCTTTGCGCAGTGGCAATATCGTAACCAATGAGTTTTATCCAAGGTGTGTTACTGTGTAAAGCTCGACTATCTGCTAATACTATTGGGAAAAATTTATCTAGCAATCAACCCTACCCTTATTATTAAGAGCCCAACCCCTGAACCCCTACTTATTCTATTCTAATATTATTTTCTAATCTATCATCCTACTAACCCATGTCTAGGTGCCTCCCTAGACGCCTCCCTGTGCTTGGCGAGGGATGACCTGGTAGATGACGTCATCAGATTCATGACTTTGGCTCTGTGAGTCATTCTCGTTGTCTTCCTTTTCCTGCTGTTCAGTTGGGACTTTCACCGTCTGGAAAGTGAAGAAAAAAAATTGTTGGCCTACATAAAAGGTAACGGGTAGTGAGGGATGGGGTTGAAGACCAGATCACAGCTGAACCGAGTCACTAATCAAGGCACATTTAACTTATTTTACTTTTATCCTCTTCACCACTGATTGGCTCGTTAGCAACTTGGGTGATCGGTCACGTCTCTGTTACTTTCCCTTTTCTTTTATCCTCTTCACCACTGATCGGCTCGTTAGCCGCTTTGGCGATCGGTCACGTCTCTGTTACGCACTGTTGGCAAGTACTGGGCATGCACCAGCCCCTGAATGTACCTGAACCTGCTCCAGTGTTGGTCAAGTCTTGTCTAGAAAGAGCTCACACTCTGTGCCATCACAACACTTTCTGGTAGATTGTTCCAAGAGTTAACAACTCTCACTCCGAAAAAGTTTGCCCTCACAGTTTTCTGGACTTGCGGCTTCTTCAATCTTGAGCTGTGACCCCTTGTGAACTGATCTGCCAGCTCCAAGTAAGGACACTCGACTTAGTGCCCCCTGAGAGGTTTATACACCTCAATTAGGTCTCCCCTTGCCCGTCTGTAGTATAAGCTAGGCAGTTCAGGCGCTCCAATCACTCAGGGTAGCTGAGGTGCCGAAGTGCAGGCACCAGTCTGGTGGCCCTCCTTTAAACATTTTCAATCAACTGACAGTCCGTAGCATATCTCGGGGACCAGACAGGGTGACAGTACTCCAGATGGGGAAGCACTTCACTCTTGAAGATCGTTACGAGGGACGGAATGTCTAGATATCTTAACGACCTTCTTATAAGATCCAATAATTTATTTGCCTGATTTACCTTCTCCTCGCAATGGCCCGAGAACTTTAGCTCATTGTCAACATACACACCTAGGTCCTTCTCACATTCAGTCTCAAATAGTGCAGTTTCTTCATCCCGTTGGGACATATGATACGCCTCCTTACCGTTGGTACGCCCCAGGTGCATCCTCTTACACTTCGTGACATTGAATTTCAGCAGCCATTTCTTCAACCATTCTCGGAGCCCACAGATGTCCTTCTGCAGCTCTTCACAGTCTGCTTGGTTCTTGCTTTCCTGAAATAACTTGGCGTCATCGGCAAACATTTGTATGTAGGAGTGTACAATGTCAGGCATGTCATTTATGAAACAAACAACAGCAGGCCCAGTACACTGCCCTGTGGTACCCCACTTGTGACAGGTACAGATGATGATTTCGTGCCATTAATCACCACACACTGCTTGCGGTCATGTAGAAGGTCATCTATCTACACTAGGACATTTCCCAGAATTCCGTACCCTTCCAGTTTGATTTTCAGCCTTAATAAATTATAATTTCTGTAAAACATTTTTTGTTCTATATCACAATTTTTGTGTTGAAATTTTTTATAATTTATCCCAGGGTTTCAATTGTTTTCTTATTTTGACAACACAACATACATATATCATTTCTCACTCTCAATATTTTTTTAATTATTTTTATTTTTTTATTTATGGTTCTATTATTATTACAGTATTTATAATTTTTATTGTTATTAATTTATTATATCCCCCCCCCCCAGGCCTTGATGTGGGTCATTAAAAATTACCTGTGCCCGGGTGGGCAAATGACCATAAAAAAAACCCTTTTTTTTTTCTAAAAAAGCAGTTTTTGTGATATAGTCCAGAATGCAACATCTAGCTTTATACCTACGTATGTTAATGCCTAGCAATAACTCGCCAAGCCAACATATAGGCAATTAAAACAAATAATAATTACTTAATACATAATATTAGGACACGTCGCTACCTGGCATTTAATTGCAGGTTATATCCCAAATATAGAGGTCATAATTTACAAAATGAGTACTATGGGCGAATTTCCGCAACCTGAGTTTCTGTAACGTAAGAGATACCTGTAAAATAACTATGTAACTTGAACCAGGTCTTAAACTAACCAGGGTTTTAAATATGAATCATCGTAATTCAAGGCTTTCCTTTACCCTGAAATTTATTTTATTTTTTTGAGCACTCCAAGAAAAATCTCTCCGTTCTGGGCATTCAAACAAATTTCCGAAAAATTGCATCGTGCATCGGCATGTGCCGAGCATATGGGTGGGTAGACTCAAAATGTTCGTGAGCTATGATTGGCTACTACTCTGTACCTGTACTGTCATATGACTGCATGGGATGCCTAAAATTGGCTGATGTATCTT